CAATAAAACGTGGAAGTTACACAATGATATAAACGTGTTTTTCCGGGTCTGAAAGATATTTTTGGCATGCTAGAAACAATATTTTCACATAAAAAATATAAAAATTTTGAGGTTTTTTAGGCCAATATATATAAATCGTTTTGTTATTCATTCAATTTCTCTCCAAGAAAAAAATTTCATTTTTTATCGTTCAGCAATTTTTTATTATTATGGGGTTTTGTAAAAACTTGCAAATTTATAAGGTTTTTTGTGAACATAACAAACTATCAACAGATTCTGTCATTGTATATAGTTTCATTAATGAATTCTTGACTATTTATTCAAGGCTGAAAGATATAACGATTTAAAATATTTGTTATTGACATCGCACATTAGCATCGCAATCAGGTTAACGGTATACAGATGAACTAACACTGTATCATTATAAACAATTTATGCTAGATTTAAGTGTCAGCATCCATTCTTACATGATTTTAGGAAGAGGTGTCCACTACAATGGCGTGACAAGATCTGCACCAAATAAACAATTACATGACTGTTCAAAAGTGTAGCAGAACGTGCAGTAGCTTTGAGAAATGTGAAGATGAAGCATTTTGACATAGTTTCTCATGTTTCATATTTATCGCAGTTGTTTAGTCCGACTGCTGTTACCAATAGGAGCTGACTAATGTAGGGCTATTCATGAGGAAATGTATATTTTGTCTCTTAACCATTAAGTAATGGCACGACTAAATGTTATATAACCATTGGCGTTGGAGCATATTGTCCTATTACTTTATCTTTAAGCATTTTAATGTTTTGTCGAAACATCTCAGCAAAATAGAGGATCATTAAAAAACATGAATTTAAATTTATTTAAGAAAATCAAGATCAGCGTGTTTTATTTTAGCCCTTCGATTTTGTTAAATGCAAAGAATAAAGCATCAGTTCAAGATACGTTATACATATTTTTCGCACATATTCAATAAATATTCTTACAGTGAATTTTAACAAGAGAATTTTTTGGTAACACAATCGCAATATAGAGGAATAATAAATAGAGATTTATAAAGAATTTTCAGGACATTCACACTGCATGGGATCAAAAACCGTTGCTTTGATAGCCTACATGTACTTTCAACGACTTTAGCAGCAGTGAAAGGAAGAGTCAAAGAAATTTAAAAATTACAATGAACCCTCATTCCTCCATTAATTCTTTATATATAAAGTTTGGTCAATTGAAGTGTCATTCGGGTCGTGTACACGACCCGATGTGACTACTTCTATGCTGAGTTGAATGTGCAACGAATGCATTAAATTTTTGATTGATGAAATACCATCGGTGAACTTGCTCGTAATCTCTTACAGGATTCACCATTGCTCTATCTTCCATGCCTCTTTCCAAATGTAGTCATATCACAATAGTAGTCAAGACGTTCGAAAATAAATACCAGTTTTTCGTGTTTCGGTATGCACAACAGTCTGCTAACTTTGTCAGGAGAGCTTATAAACGTCTTTTTTTGCAAATAGTCATGGATTCCGTCTTCTCCAGACCCTTTCAGTGTATTGTCTTTAGCAAACGGAATTCATTCCGTCTTTTCTGAGAGTTGTTTCCTGCTGATCGTTGCATGTATTCAGCATGATAACAGACTTCTAACTTGAGGACGGCCAATATTGTATGGGTGAATTAATGAAAGTTCTAATAAAGACTTAATTGGTGTAAGCGTTGTGCTTAGAGCCATTTCAGTATTAGTTTCGTTAAAAGAGACGAAATCTAAACGACTCTAATAAAACCTGAAAACCCATTTATACGATAGTTTATCAACCAGCCAACATTGTTTTACTGCACATGCACTACTACATAGTGTGCTACTTTTACAAGTATAACTATTTTTCGGTGATTTAATTTTCCTAGCAAATATTCCACGCTAAATAAATGAGTACTAGTTTCGGAACGATGGAAGCCTCGAAAAGGAAGCAGACGCGTTCGTTTTTTCACTCTTTTGCATTATACGCATTTTTAAAATTTTTACGATTCTTTTCGTCAGGCACACTCAATACACATACTTTTTTTTTATTGGCAATTTTATGCGCAAATGTTTCGTCCGTAGCGTTTCTTAAGTGGTGCTTTACTATTTTTTTAGATGATTAGAACCTTACCGAGTTATTCTTTGCGCTACTTTCAAAAATTCGATGCAGAATTTTTGAGGGAATTCACTATAAGACCGAATCTGCTCTTCTTACACAAATGTAGGAAAATAATTTGCATTGCTATTGCAGTAATAGCCTACTGATGCAGACAGAATGGTATGGAACAAAAAATTTTATTTTGACAGAATGTCTGAGTTCCTTCGACGACATTTCGCTGGAGATTAGTAAATTTCCGAAGTTTTTTGCGCTAAGTTCGCTTGGCTACACCCTTTCGGTCAGTTGCTACTCTCAAACCGACGCCGATTACAATCATTTCAAGCGCGCAAAAGCTGTCGGCTGGCGAATGCTCTGAAACTGATTTCAGAAGCATTTCAAACCTTCTGCTGAACTAAAATAATCGTTCATACGCACGTGCATTCATTCTGTTAAACTCATATCTGTCTTACTACTATTGGCAGTAGTCCCCTTTGATTTAAAAGCCGAACATACTAATGTCATCTACGGTATTAATAATCAGTAACGAGTAATTGGTAAACACGCTGAGGAAATGAACTGTCGCCTGTGTCAATGACAGCACCGAATTCTTCAACAAATGGTGAGTTCACTCGTGCACACTTTTTCTTCCATTGCCCGTGCTTTGCTTTCGGCTCACGACTAAAATATCGATTGCCAAACTCCAATGTGACGGTTTATAACCACCGTGTGAAAACCGCTAGCAACCTTGCCACGTGATATAACGATGGATCAGCTACTAACCGTACGGTCAGTAAAGGCGGTAGTCCAGTGAGTTCTGTGTTTATTGCACTAGAGGGAATCTTGCAACCAGATTGAGAGAAATTATCTGACTTATCCTGTGGAATGTCAAAATGTCACCACCTTCAGGTACGTGACACAAAACTGATGATCCAGAAATGAGACAGAGACTAGAGAGCGACTCAGATCTGCGGAGCCGTTGATGTAGCAAAACCATTCACCAATTTCAGACCCATTCTCTACTTGAACATTGGCGATAGCTTCCTCTTGTCTTCTGCCAAAAGACTGTTTGACCAGGCTTATTCGAGACTGAAGGAACTGCGTACGGAATTCGCACAACGAACTGGAAATGCGATTTGATTTCTATTATCCAAATTCATCAAGGTAGAGGTATCGGCACCGATACTCCGCAACTGTTCGCTACAACGAATGTAAAAATTTCACTTTCTGACTCGGCTGCAATTTTAGAAAAAGTGAGAACAAAATTTTCACTGTGAAAAGCTGTTTTAATATGCTCTCGACGTCATGTGCAGTTACATAAAAGTAAAACCATGAGAAGTAAGCAGGCAAAGGATAACTTTTTACATATCCTGTCACACAGTCTTTACGAATTCGATAACCGTAAGGCTTCGCTTTATCACATGGTAAGATCCTGAAAGAAAACTTCAGTTATACGAGGATGATTAAAAATCAATTTCATATAAACAAAAATATCATGTACCATCTTGAATACGAGAAGTTCAGAGGGCGTAAGGCGTTAGTCGCTAATGCACTACAAATCCACAAAGCAAAAAAGTTAATAAATACAACGGAATACAAACTTCGCCTGGTACGCATTTTGCCAGAGTGAATATTAGACACTATTAATCAAGTTCTAAATCTAATAATCGGAACGGCTGCAGTCAATAAAATCCAGTATCTGCCATAAAAACGCTTATTTTAAAATACAGTCGTTTAGAAGTTTCAACCCTGTCAATAAAATTAAGGTTTGCTTAAACAACTGCATTCTTTTTTGTATTTAAATATCTCGGATAAACCTTTTATCTTCACCTTCTTCATCTTCATCTTCCATCGCCGCTTCTCCTTTTCGGTGGTGGAGGCAGACGCGTCAGACAGAGCTTTCATCATTCCCGCTCCTGTGCCAGAGTCTGAGCTTCGGCAGAAGACAACTGGAGTTTAGAAGAGACTCCTTCCATATATTTGCACCAGGTTAATCTTGGCCGTCTTCTGGGCCTTCTGCCGGTCGGATTCGTAAGAAGCTGTTGCTTAACCTTCCCTTCAAATCCTTTTTATAACAATTTTAAATTTAGCACTAAATTTAACACTGATAATTCATAACGTACTTTAGAACACATCACATAATAATATGGATTATAAACAATAAAATATCTACGAAATATACATTTCCCAGCAGTTCATCTTCACTGTCATATGTAAAGTTATAATGACATTTTGCATACCATGATGGCGTTGATTATGTCATTGTTGGAAATTCTTAAGGCTTTTATAGCTCTACTGCGAGAGACGTTGGCCTGCGACATGACAAGTTCGATGTCCTTTTCTTCGATACCAGAAGCGTCCACCTAAAGTATATCATCATTTGCGTAAGAAAAAACGTAAAGCAAAACAAATGCTAAAAGCAGGAACTTTATCCTCAATTGCATACTTGGGTAATGCATTATAGCAAGAATAAAAAAGGCATATAAGTACATGCACAAATACAGTGAAGATTTCTTACTCTTTCTTTTCTATTTCGCTTTAGGAGACCGAAGAATTAATGCATTCCAAACCACTTCATAACACTGCTTCAAGGTTAATCGGTCACTGCATTGTTAATAAGTTTTGGACTAGTAATCTACCTTTATTTGTTTTTAATAGTTACTGGTCCCGCATATTGTACCAACAGATCGTGCAAATGCTCTGCTCAGTCGATCGCAAAACAGACCTTTGTTACTCACAGAAAACAACATATCGTTTTTTAAGCTACGTTCGACAGAGTGAGGCTGCACAAGTCAGTCAGCCAGTTTTGATGACCGTTTATTCTCTTTGGTCCCCAAGAGAATATCTCCAACGGTCTCGATTCCGTGCTATAGTCTAAGCTTCTGAAGAAGATAACCAGAGTCCGGAGCAGGGTCCTTTCAGACATTTGCAGCAGGTCATTCTTGACCGGTCTAGGGCCGATCGGTTGAGCAGGCAGTATCTGTTTCGCCTTCCTTGCTCAAAGCATTTACAAAAACTGTTCAAACTATCGCAACTGTGACTTCTCAATGTGGAGAAAAGCGGCTGTACACTAAGGCTATTTCCTGGATATCTGATCTTCGGAGCCAAACAGAGACGCCTATATTTAATTTATCAAATCGATCATCGAATTCAGTAAAAAGCTTCCCTCTACCAGGTATACTGATGCACATTTCGATAATCGAAATTAACACAGGTATCAAGCACAATCGCAAAAACCCTCCAACCACTTCCCCGCAATGTTTAATACAGATAACTTCCGGAATATCTGTAAGTGAGAATATAAATCATAGAACAGAATATAAATGCACGCACAATTTCACTACCACTGATTTAATCTAAAGAACAATCTCGATTGGTAAAATTTAAAGTTAAATTAAATCTGTTGTTAAATTATGAATAATAATATATTTTGCTACAAATCGTGCAATTCAACACCGCGTTACGCGTCACTTACCTCCTCATCGTCTGACTCTTGTGACTCTTGGTACTGCTGAACATTGCCCAAGCCAGCGTCGGTCATCATGCCAGGTTCGCTGATTTTGAACTTCTCGGCTGCTGCCTGCTGCGCGTGTTGGCTCAGGTCCTCAATCTTCGCCTCACCAAAGACGATGTAAGTGTCAGAGCCGGGGCTTTTGTACACATCGGGCTTGTTAATAACGAAAAGAATGTTTTTCGATTTCCGAATGCACACTCGTTGAACGCCATGAACCTAAATCTGATGTTCAGAAATATCATCAGAACACTACCAGAAAATAATCGATCAGCACCCTTTATCCAATCAGAGAGTCAATAATCTGCTTTAAAATCTGTACTCCAAAGGTAATCGCATTTACCCCTGCCTAATCCCTAATTCATGACTTGCCATTAAATACTTTCGAATCGTCGTCAGACCTACCAGCTTGTGCAATCGTGGAAAATGCACCTTTATCAAAAATAACGAAGTACAGCAACTGTTCTTGCAACTCTGGCTCTCTCAGAGAGCCTTCAATTCAAAGTCGATAAAGTTCAGTTTGAGCCGGTAGGAAGTCGAATCGGTTACAGATAGCATGATGCGGGGATAATGTACGCTGGAAATTCGAGAAAAACGGAAACCATTGTCAGCTAATATACTCCGGCAGATAAAAGGCTGCTGCGATAGTGACTCTTTCTCCGGGATTCCGCCAATCTTAGCTACTAGCAAAACAGCTCATCGAAGTAAAAGGAAGCACACAGCAAATTTGTGCAACGCTGCTATTCACGTTTTGCCAGTAGTAGGTGAGATGACAACAATAACTACTTAATATAAGATATGAAATCGTCAGGATCTCGGGATAGGCGACAAAGAAGTAGATTCAAACATGAGCGTTTAACTGATGCTTCTGCTTACTTTGTGGTTCAATGCAGAAATGATTTATTGCCTTTTCACTGAAAGCTACTCCATTCTATTAGCACTGTATAAAGTCGATGATATTCGGCCCAGTTTTGCTTCTCTAAATCATGAAGATCGCCTTTGAGAATATATTCATAATAGAGGTCCACTTTAATCAGGTAATTACCCGCAAATAAAATAGTAGAGACATTCTTTAAGCAGAGATGAAACCAAGACTGAAAGACGACGGCATATTAGATCTAACCAGAAAAAAACAACATGAAACAATCTTTTCATTATGCAATTTATCCTCTGCATATGTGCAATGACTTGCGCACTGGAAAAACGGAAAAAAACACGATGCTTGAATGATGATCTGCGTAAATCGAAAGAAAATAACATTTTTGAAATGGATAGTTAAAGCTGCAAACTCCAGTTTTACCTGATTTCAGACTCATGCTATCATCCTCCTAATGGAAGATATACGTGTCGTATACGAAACTTGAAATAAATGATCACATTAATATACTGAAAAAGAAAATAATGATGTTCTAATTTTGTGGCAACTAAATTTACCTGCGATACCACCTTTCAAATAAAGATGAATAATGCGTTGTATGCGTGAAATTACACCCGGCTTGAGAAATAACTGACGGAAAAATTCTTGCTGGATGCATAGAATACTGCCTAACAAGCACAGCTGTGGGACTATTTTGAGCACAGAAGCTACAGCAATTTAAATATAACAGTCAAGGATTAAATGCTACACTTTTAAATAAGAGGTTTATACACAACCCTACTGGAAATCTATTTTTACCATTTAACAGATAATAATCTTCACAAATTACAAATACATCACTTTTAGACTTTATTACAACTGTTTATGCAGTCGACAAAGTTCTCAAAGGGTTGTGTCGGCAAAAGATTTTATTGAACATTATATCGCCTTTTCAAATCGAAACAGATCCAGCTTAAGGGGCAGTATATGAAAACTAATGCAAAAATAATTGATTGCGGCTGAAGAAATATACAACTGCATCTGCAATTACAGTTACTGAAAAGACCTAAGTAAAGCATTAGTATTAAGTCTGTACCTCCTATGAACCCAGCTTCAAGTAGCATTGCCCCTCCCATCGGTGCAGATTGCAGAGGGGCCATTTAAAGGTGACGCTTTCACTGTATTTGAGCACCTACAATGCCAGAAGCACTCATGTCATTCTATTTGAAATAATAACCTCATGCTCTTCATTAACAATGTTCTTTCCCGCCTGTAATCCTTATATACTACCTAAAAAACTGTAAATGGGAATTCATACATGTGAACAGGTGCAGTTTTACAAAAATCGGATAGTTTGCAATTGCCCAGGGGGCACAAACACAGACATTTGAGCACACTCAAAAATATAGATTTGTACGATGGGGCACGTTAGCACTGCTTGTGAAAGGAAAGTAGTGTGCCTGTCGTTTAAAATGGGGCGAAATACATAATAATACAGAGTTTGGCCGGCTTAAGTGGTCCTTAAGCCAACTACGAGCAAGGAGAAGGTCATACACGCTGTAAGATCCGGATTTGATTAACAATATGTTTATAAACTTATCATATTGGCATGCTTCGATATATGTCCTTATACATTTAGGTCTATTACATTAAACTAAATTTTCCTCGGCAAATGAAACATCGCTATAACAAAACATCAGTCAATTTCAATCGATCAATCAGAATAAAATATTAAAACTTACATTACATAACCTAATTATAAGCCCATATATATAACCAACATATATGACCATACAAATCTCTTTGGAGTCCTACTT